TAATTTTGAAGAATGAAGAGTGAATTGTCTTAAAGTATGAATCAATTGTGTTGGGGATAAAAAGTTTAAGATTTGAAAAATCAAGTAGAGTGGTGCAATTCAAAGAATAAAAAGAACTTTACCCAGTTGAATTTGAAGTAAAACTATGATATATTAAACTTTATGCCTGCGATGGATGTGATTTATAGTTCAGTGGATTGTGTGTCTTTGCAAATTTCTTTAGGAAACTGTCTCTTCTTTTTTCGTGTTCTTGAGAAAAATTTCCATTGATTTTCATTTCTTCTACTAACTGTTTTATGTCTTTCACAGTGATTGGAAAACTTTCATCAGTCCTATATTGATACCAAAATTATTATTATTTTTACTTGAAAACTAACTCGAAACTGTCGAGACCACTATCTTGCAGGTGGATGTAGGAGAAACTGATTCCATACAACAAGTCGTGCTATACCACAATACTAGCTATAAAATTGAAATTGTGCATTTGATACAGATTTTTGTTGTTGTTGTCGTTTCAGAACACGAATTTATTCCTTTGCATACATTGGGGTGTTGTCGTTTACTACTGAGACCAAAACGTTTAAACTCATCTCAGCTTGTATTGGAATGCATTGACAGTATCAGTTTTACTTTCCCATCTCATTTCACTCAGTTGCTGTATGGTGAAAACTAGGAACTTTTTTGTAACAATACTTCCAAGCGATGAACTGAAAAGGAAAAGTAAGTAGACATATATGAATCAAGTCAAAGAATGTCATTGGGTGCAACAGTTAGACTCAACGAAAGGTACTGTTTCAATGCAACATATAGTATTGCAATATTTATCATAAAATGTAGAGCATATGCGTTGTATAGTACAAAGTAAAATTTCGTAGATTTTAATCGATAATTTTTTGCTTGAAGACTGCTATTCTTTCCTTGGTTTCATTGTAATACCCCTGGATTCATATGTCTTTCCGGGTCACATCCATTTCCCCAAGTTTGCTCAGAACTTGAGTTGGTTACATTAGTATTACTTAAGTCTATCAGCAGCAAAAACCCGAGGTAAAGCTTGTTTCGTTGATACAGACCTAACCATCTTCAGTCGCAGATACTTCAGTAAGTATAACACACCTAATGATCATTGCCAGCTGTTCTTTTTGACTTATGTCAGCAATACAATTGATCACGCTTTTGGTAGCAAATAGGTTAGTCTGAGGGCTTATATCACTAAAAATAGGGTTACAGTGCCTACAGTGGGCAGAACACATCCCATCATGTAGTTTTGCACTTAACAACAGACAAACAAAATAGTTAAGTACAGTTAAGTATTCATGAACATTTCTAGTAACAGTCAACTCATGATTCTGGATCATGGAAAGCAACTAACTAAGCTCATTCTGAAATTTCCTTCCCAGTATAGATCACGAACAGCAACAGAATAAATAAGCTCTTTCTGGATCTTCCTTCCCAGTCTGGATCATGGACAGCAATGGATAAGCCACTTCTCTGAACCTTTCTTTCCAGTATTGATCTTAAATAGCAACTGCATAAGCTCTTTCCGAGTTTTCCTTCCAGTTAGTTTATACATTTTTTACTTGACAGGATCAAACATGGCCAAATAGTCAAAAATTTTAAGAAATTTCTATTTCTCGGTGTTAGATATACACGACTGTTTCACTTAATGTGAGTGTTATGATTTAGACGGTTGAGTGTCAAATTTAGTAATTTCTAGAAGTGATAGTTTATTGCAAGTCTGTTTACGTAACTGTTTTCGAATCTAGTGGTATAGTTCAAATGTTGTGAATTGGCGATTGTTATATTATTACATCATGTTATTAAAACCTTCTAAGTTTCTCTGATTGTTCCATAATATCTCGTAATGTATGGAACGTTCTAGGCCTCTGTCGGGCTATAAATACGCGTCCAAAATTTAGTTAGTTAGTTACTTATCACAGACTGTATTGTAATAACAGGGTAGAGAAGAATAATTCGTCTTGTAAAATTGTGTTATAAAGTAACTGAACCAGCTCGTGTGGAGTTTGACGAAAAAAAAAAGACAATTATTTAGAGCTCTGGATACAACTGTGATAACCAACAGTGTAACGAACATTTGTATACGCGTTTGAACTTGTTTAAATATATTATTTTAAAACAAGTGGACTGTGTGCTGTTTGTTCATTGTTGAAATTTATCGCCACCAAGTCACAGGCACCTACTGTAAAGAATTTGGCCCATACATACCTGACAGCGGGTGTGAAGAACTTCTCGTGATTTCTACAAAGATTTTTCATTAATTGTTTGGCTCCTTTTTAGTCGAGATTCTAATGATTATCATTGTTAAGATGCTACCAGATGATCTATTGTCTTTACATATTAAAAACGCTATGAATTACTTTATTTTAATTTACAACAGGAAAACGTTAGCTGTGTCAAAAATCGTTTAGCAAAAACCAAACACTAAATTGTGTTTGACTGAATACTGAACATTTAGTATTTTTTTTCTGCCATTTCTTATGTAGTATCTTGCGAATTTCATTTTATTGTTCTCTCTATAAAATTCAAATATATGCAGTTATGCTGGACCCATGTAAATCAATGACTATCGCACCTTTGAATCAGTTTTTGATCATTTACCTTGGTTACACAAATAAAATGCACATGTATTTTTGCTTTTCCTCTTCGGAGTTGTTTTTGTCATGAGGAGCTGTGGTTTCCTTCAATTTCTCAAACATACTAGTAATAAGTTGTAGCTCTTATTAGTTTTAACAGTAATGTTTCTTCACATTTTTAAATATGTTGCGTTACAAAAATTTGAGAATAGTGTTCTTTTGTTTTTCTAAACCTGTCTCTGCTTTTAGTCCCCTATAGTGAACGTCAGAAAGACGGTGCCTACTACCAACCATGTTTATCTTAATTCTAAGGACCTATGAGTGAATATGTTATAAAAGAATGTGTTATAATATGTCAACCACATTATATCTGTTGTATACAGTGCCGACGAAACCTTTCACATAGCATTAGGACTCGTCAGGCCGGCTAGAATAGGACAGATATAGCAGTGGTCTAGGCGCTATAAGTTCACTGCTTAAACACTTTCCAGTTACTACAGTTTTAACTAAAATTTTTGTTATTTGTAATTTTTATAAAGTTAAAAATAATTTTATCAGAATATTTGAATTCTGCACATTTTTCGGAAAAAAACCCGAAAAGAACTTGTAGGTTTTCGAGGTCACGCCTCGTTTATATGTACCGCAACGTTTTAGTTTCTAGGATTTTTTTATAGAATTTTCCAATTGGATATTTTTAGAATATTTTATTCTGCGCACCTTCCGAAAAAAAAGAAAAGAAAAAGGAATGTCAACTACATAAGGAGAGAAACTAAATTTTTCACCCTCGCTTCTCTTTGACTATTTGCTGCAAACTTACTAAACTAGGGAAAATAAAACTCGAGAGGTGAAAAAGTTTGGAGACAGCTTAAATTGGTAACGAAGAAATCTTATTTTAAATTTAACATAATAAGAAATATACAACGCTTCATAAGTTTTATCATCATCAAGTATTTGTCATTAAAATATGAGAGGTGATATTATAAACCTACAGCAACCTTGACAAGTTCAACCCTCCCCTTGTTCAGCGGCAAGTCTGAAGGATTATAACGCTAAAACTCGGGTTTCGATACTCGAAAAAAGATGGCCCGGCATGGTCAGATGGTTAGGGCGCTCGACTCGCAATCTGCAGGTTCAAATTCCCGTCCCACCAAATATGCTCGCTCTTTCAGCCATGGGGGCCTTATAACGTGATGGTCAATCCCACTATTCGTTGGCAAAAGAGTAGCCCAAGAGTTGGCGGTGGGTGGTGATGACTAGCTGCCTTTCCTCTAGTCTTTCACTGCTAAATTAGGGACTACTAGCGCTGATAGCCCTCGTGTAGCTCTGCGTGAAATTCATAACAAACAAACAACAAAGACCCTGAATACAAATTAGTTATTCGATCCAATTATTTTCTGTTTAGCAGCTCTGTGTTTTGCCGCTCTAGATGGTTGTCTGTTTTGCTCATCTGATTAGTTGGCCTGATCATGTGAGATATTATTCAAATTAGAGACACAAATATTGCTAACAGCGCTGGTACTCAATTGATGATTCAAAACACTCTGTTCATTATGGTTTTAGTTTTTAAATGCATTGATTCATGACATTATGTACTTCTAGACAGTGTATTTTATAAAATTAGTTTCGTAAATTCAAGTTTTAGTTTTGATTTATTTGGTTAACTTGCTGTTGAACAGAAATAATTAATAGTTACCTTGTTTCCTAATCGCATTAAAAAGTATTATTGTATAATTAATATTTCATTATTCTCACTGTTACAAGATCCTAATGTAAATTAATGCTATTGTTTTTAAAGATTGTTTGTTATTATTATATTTAAATCACTATAAGAACCAACGTGATGAAAACTGTCACAATGAATACGCCCATTACATTCTCATATCCGCAAGTCGCCGAAAGGTGTTAAACCAGCCGAGAATGAGCTTTAAAACATAAACGTGTGAAAATAATTTATAATTAATATCTATCATCAACAGAATTTCTCACCAGCTAGCATATTTTGTCTGAACCAAACTAATTACTTCAGTAAATATAAACCCAATCCTGCATATGACGCAAATAATTAAAGGAAAACGTCAGCTATTTCTACAGTGAGCATGCGTGGCGTCGTCTCATCCACGCTCACTTTCCCGCTAAATGACAAGGGTTCGCTATGGACAATGTTTACATCGATTGGCAGGTAAGTGTTTTGTTTTTGTCTTTAAATTGCATGTACTCTTTGGCTGGTTGATGTCTCCTATTGCTGTTTATTAAAACATATCTATTTTGTTAATTGGTGAACAAGTACAATAATTCAACATGGATTTCATGTTTTATCATTTTTAACTGTACAAAAATGAGAAAGCACTTTTAGTGTTCTCTTGTCAACGAGAAATGGCGTCAGTGGAAGGTATACTAGAGAATCGACATTGTAGAAGTGGTTGCTAAAGCAGAGTTTTCAGACAAATAAATTGAGTATTATTTCGTACGATAAGTATAATACGTCATACGTCACATATTTTAAAGTCTCCTGCACAAACACCGTGAAAAAAAAAGAAAGGAAAAAAAGAACGCCAATCGCACTGAGTTTGCGTGAGGCGCCATGTCGCCAGTAAAATTCTGTTTACATCTTAGTCTGATCGAGTTGGAAGGGAAAGAAGTTACTTTCCATGGCCCCGCAATACTGCAAGTTCTACTCAGTAGGAGCGAACTTCAATGTAAGTGGTATGTTTTTTTAAGTGAGGATTTTATCATTATAGTTGAAAAATTAAAATAAAAATATCAGCGTTTTGTTATAAACGCAATATTAGGTGTTATTATAAGAACTCCGAGTATTAACTAGAACTAAGAAAGTGCACCGTAATACCAGGTGTTATTATAAGAAGTCTGGGTATTAAGAAAGTGCACAGTCTTACAAAAATAATACTTAATCAGCACATGAAAATTGGATCTTTACTTAGAAAAATCGACTGTAGAATAGCTTTTTAATATGTATCCGTATATTGATATCCGCAAAAGTAACGTTATACAGCTTTTCAATGTAAACAGTCCTTATGCACTTATTATTTTACCTTTAAAAGGAAGGATAGCGCGAAATTTACGCAGTATATCCAAATCTTAGATGAAATGTAATTTTATGTAAAAGAAACAATACAGACATCCATCACCTTGGCACAAGTCATAAGGTATAAGGTGGGTCATTATGTAATGTGCCCTGGTTTTTTTTAGGTACTGTTGGAAGTAAGACACTGTATATCCAGTTTAACCTCCACTTCGACAGCCTGACATGCTTAGAAAAAAGAAACAAAATTGGAGTAGATGTGGGTTCTCTATCCCACAATGTTCCACATCTTTACCACCTTTCACTGGCTGCAGCCAAATGTGGGAAGGTGGTTGCTCATAAGAAATATTAATAAGCAGAAAGAAATTATTAGAATACAAGACCCACATTGGGGGATGGAATGCTAACTTCAAGGACAGTTTTGCTGTCTCCCCCATTGATGTCTTAGTATAACATTTTGGTATTTATGTCCAAACATCATATTGGGGGCTGGAATGCTAACTTCAATGACAGTTTTGCTGTCTCCCCCATTGAGTACGACCCATACAGTAGTGAGGGTACGTCGTCTACCAGACTCAACCGCACTTCGCTTGCCTCACAAACTGAAATAAAAAAATTGGTGCTTAAACATCCACACCGTCCCACGTCCTTGCTACCTTTCACTGTTTGCAACCAACTGTGGGTTGCTTGAAAGATGCTTAATACATACTACTGGGGTGATGAGTAGAAATTTGTATCTTGAGGTTGAAATTCAAGCCTCCAAAATAGCGTTATAAACTTATATTTTGTTAAACAATAAGAAATGAACCATAACTGTAAAAGTTCAAAATGTAATACTGCCCAAGCCTAGTATAACAACATCCTCTACTCTTAACGGCAAACTATCCACTAACGAAAGTTTGATAAACTTGTTGTCTTTTATAAACTGTATGTGCGCAAACTGATTTTAATGGAATTGATGAGAAACCCATAAATATTTTAAATTATATTATAATACATATAAAAAGTAAAAAAGTGGAGGATGAGAGCTATACTAATAATTTAGGTTAGACTTAATATAGTAATACCTTAACATTTTGGTATTTATGTCCAAACATTCGTGAAGACGTTTACAATTATGAAATAATTTTAGATGAAGGGAGTGATAAAGTTTCTTTGTAGCAACAACAACATTAGTTAGTATTAGTAATAACGGATAATATTTTTCAGTAAACAAAAATATCAATTGTTATTCTTGGGGGTAGCGTGCTCGGACTGTGAATCCGAAGGTCCATGGTTTTTGACCCACTGGGCCCGCTCTACGAGTGGCGGTAAAATCCCAATAATTGTTCAGAAAATAGTAACCTAAGAGTTGGCTATGTGTATTATTGACTAGCTTCCTTTATCATATAAAAATTAGTTTTGGAGATATGTAAGGGACCCATTTCGTTTTCATTATGTCGTTCGAATGTTAATACCCATGCTAGAAATTTCTTAAACAGTTTTATATCTTTCACAAACCATGTGTTTGCTGATGAATCATGTATACCTCAGCTGGAATGACTGGCCCCTTGACATTTATCAAAAAACGCCTCAATTGCAGTGCGAATATACTCTATCGAATGCTTGTTTTTCGAATAATTATAAAAAGGAAATTCCCTTGAGAACACAAGGCGGTTTTCACTGCAGATCATCAATGAATTACGTATTGACTCATTCACTGACTGAAAATTAAGATCATCCTTCTGGGCGAAGGTTCTTGATAATGTATTTACGAGAACTGAAAACAATTTTGCTGTGTCCAGAAGTTTTTAGCAAAGTTTAAAAGTGTTTACGAACAATTTCTTAATAGTCTGCCCAAGCCGAGTTGGCGTAGTAGGGCTGTCGATATTCGAAAAGCCCTATCGATTTGTGACGAGGTTCTCGCTTGTAACGAGGACTCGGCCGTTTAAGACCCGCACATACATCATAGAATGGATGAAATTAAGACTTAAGAGCATGTGGAAAGAACTGTAGATCCGTCATTACCTTTTTTTTTTCTTTGAAAACCTTCCTTGCAACCTAATTCTTCCTGGTTAAGTGAGGCTTAAAATATGCTAAAGCTGGATTCACTGTGTGCATGATTTAGAGTGAAAGTGAAAGCTACATGAAATTTGAAGATGCCTTCTACCTCTTACTTTGTATTTCATTAACGAAAACGAAAAAGATGTTTTGAGAAGTTTCGTGAGATATGTATTATCAAACGAAGCTTAAACAGTTAATCCTTGTAAACTGTATAGTAATATGACTGCTATACAGAGTGAATGTAGACATTAATTCAGCTTCACTTATCGAAACATTAATGTGTTGTTTCTGGAATTCAAAAATAAGTTATAATTCCCATATTCAATATATATATATATATTTTACTATGTCTGAGTATACGCTGTTATCATAGCTGTTTCGTATATCATTTACTTCGAAGAGACAATAGTACTTACGCACACTGTGGTAAGTTTGAAATCACTGGAAAATTGCTTTCACAAGAAAAACTTCTTATTTCTTACTGTTTCTGCTTTAAAAATTAAATCTTCATATAAAGTACTTTGATTTCAAATGTTGATCACTGATCAATTCACTGATTTTTTCAAAGCCAGTGAAGGACATTTCTGTCGTTGACCTATTCCGCACAATGCGAGAATTTGCAGCAATATCCCCACAGGGAAAGTAGATGAAGACACACGATGCTGTGTCATGCGGCCCAAAAAAACCGCACAACGCCCAGTGTGTTATTGACAGAAATGAGAACTTTGGGTTTTTCAAGCATCCGTATAATCGCTCCAAATTTACAAAAACCCTTATCGCTTCACAGCAGGCCAAACTTAGCCTGAAATCCTACGTTTTCTTCTTCTTGCTCGCACCAGTGAAAAATAAACAAACTTCCCTTTAATTGATTTTTTTTTTTTTCAAATTTGGTACATTGCTGATATTGTTTGTTTGTTTTGTTTTGCTACACGAGGGCTATCTGCGCTAGCCGTCCCTAATTTAGCAGTGTAAGACTAGAAGGAAGGCAGCTAGTCATCACCATCTACCGCCAACTCTTGGTCTACTCTTTTTACCAACGAATAATTGGATTGACCGTCACATTATAACGCCCCCACGGCTGAAAGGGCGAGCATGTTTGGTGGGACGGGGATTCGAACACGTGACCCGAGCGCCCTAACCACCTGGCCATACCGGGCCCATATTGCTGATATATATGTTCCCCTACCTGGACGGCAAATTTGGTTGTAGTAGCTCAAGTATTCTAGAAGATATGGGCAAAAATTACGCTAAAATCTCGTAAATTTTTGCGCTCGCCTGCAGAAACATTGGCTAATTCGATCGCGCTGAATTTTCTACCAGAAATTAAGATATTCTTGAAAGTGTACCGTTTTCAATTTTATAAAAATCGAGTAGGAAATCCGAAAGTTACGAGCCAAAGACCACCATAGTGTAAAACTATTCACACGATGTTTTCGTACTACTTTGCAACAGACTTCAAACTAATAAAAACGCTTCCTGGTACGGGTTTGCCGTCGTTTCTGGCATGTAGATAGCATATTTTATCATATCGCTTTATGTACTGTATAAAACTATACAAGGAACATGATATCTATTGAAAAAAATCTTGGCTGAAATAGATGTGGACAGAAATAAAGCAACTGAAGGATATGAACTCAATGTTATTGAAGTATTGAAGAAACCCACATGCAATTATAATGTCTCCAAATTTAATAGGTGCTTGGTGATAATTATTCCAAACTACATCCGAGCATCAAATGTATGTCATTTGTGGTTATTTTTACCTAAGGTACAACAACAACAACAAAAAAAGGTGCGCCCCCCCCCAAAAAAAACACGAGTTGCGACAGAAAGATGTGATACCAAAGATTGAGACCAAAATGAGAAAATACTGATTATTAAAATTTTATGCAAACAATTATGACTAATAATTCAAAATTTTACAAAATTTGTAGATTATGCACATCTACTACAAGAAATCACATGGACCGCTGTTTTTTGTTGGTGCGTAAAATATTTTAATCATCAATATTTTCTCAGTTTGGCCTCAAACTTTGATTTCACATCTTTATGTCGCAATTCTTGTTGTTGTTGTTTTTTCGTTTGTTTTTTTTTGGAAAACTTCAGGGAATCAGATCAAATAAAAATGTTTGAAGATTCCTACATTAATAAAATAGTGTAGAAAACATATAATATGCCTGTATGATACAAAGGCTACTCCAAGCGCTAAATTAAAGCGAAATTTCGTGTTTCAATAAGAGCTGTATGGAAACTCTGAAGAGGATGCGTAAAACTGGTACTATTATTAACAGAGGTGGTCGAGGTATAAAGCCCAAACTTTTCAAAGAAACCTTAAGAAGCTTAGCGTATGCTCTTTACATGATACACAAGAGAGATTTTGCAAATGACTTAACTTTTATTACAGGTGTGAATTGTAACTCCAAAACAATAGGATACAAACTACACAGGAGTTAACATCAATGGATATTTATCTGTTTAAATATTACTTCTTGAAAGAGATAACCAAACCCAAAAGCTTCAATGGGCATCAGGTTTCAAACAATGGGATGAGAAAAGCAGAATGAGAGTGATCTTTATAAATGAAACCACATTCAAATTGTTTGGCAAGAATCAACAATAA